AAAAGAACTATTGTCTTTCCTTCTAAATGTTCAGGTATATAGCTGTGTTTTGATTAAAACTTGTTCTAGTTATTTAAGACAAGCTGGTCAAATTGACCTTGTTCTTATCTATCTATGGTTAAGAGTTGCCTGAGTTTCCTCAAGGGGCACTCTTGGGAACTTGGGAGATATCTCCTAGCTCCTCAGGTACTATCTGCTCATATAGGTCAGAGTCTGTGGGCCATGTGGCTTCTGTTGGAGGCATCAGGGATGTTTTATCTCCAATGACACTCCCCTTAGCAGCATGTGCACTGATAGGCTTTCTCTTCCCAAAGGTCTCATTGGTCCGTGATCAGGAAGTCAGGTGGCCCAGAGTTGCAAAGCCCTTAGAAGTACTGTGGTTCCCTGGATTCGAGCTGACCTCAGAGGGCAAGAGCCAAATATAGGCTATTTTTCCTTGGGTCTTTTACCTCATTAACTTTTGATTTTAAACATCCAGCAAGCCAGTTTCTTCAGTCTTAAATAAGAATATTGGATTTTAACTTTATTTATTTATTTATTTATTTTTTATTTATTTTTTATTGGTTGTTCAAAACATTACAAAGCTCTAACTTTAATATCTATAACTTTATAGTTATTTGAACCTTCTTTTTAGTTGGGTATTAGTACTGGAAGGTAGCCTTACATCCTGTCTGTCCTATAGGCGATATAGTCTGTAATCTCAAATTAACTCAGTTTGTTATAATTAGAAGTTGTACGTTTGTAAGGCATTAACAGAAAATAGTTATAAAGTTTACAAGAAAAATATAAAATGAAATCATCAAAAGTAAAAACCTTTCTTGGTTCATAATAGCTATGATAATCTCAAATCTTTACTTCAAACTTCGGTTTGAAGAACACCAGCTTGGTAAAATGCTCTTCTAAACCTTATATTTTAAAGACCTGTACACTTGGAAGATATGAATACATATAGTGTACAAAGAAACCAGTAAGTGCACCATGTTACACTGATGTTCTTATATTAACCAAGTTTAGATTTTAAAGAAAAATTCAGAATCTTTAGTGTAAGTGTAATCCTGTAAAATAACAATAGTTGTTTAATCAGAGTTGTACAAAGTCTAATTCCTTTGAGACTAGTTTCTCTAAAGAATAAAACTTAACAGACACAAGACATTACCTTGTTGGATAAGAGCAGATTAACGTTTTAAGAAACTGTTGTTACTTTAACATATAGAGGATTGAACTTTGGTTCATATCAGTATATTCATGTTTTACCTTAGGAAAAACCTATAGAGCTTTAACTGAATGAACCAACTGTAGTCAAGTTAGTTACATTTTGAGATTTACTCTCCACAAACTCCTGCAAATAACTAGACATTCTAAGACTTTTATTTTATTACACAAATGATGTTTGCATGGATAAATATTTATTTTTTCCTTCTACTTTCATACTAAAATATATTTCTATACCTAGAACCTTCCTATATCACCTTTCTAGCTGTTGATCCATTTTAAAATTCACATTTTGAAACAACGCTTATGAAATTTCTGAATTTAGACAAATTAGTCCACTTTAATTAGGTGAAACACTTTTTTATAGCACATTAATGGAAACCCAACTGAAACATTTTATACTCTTTGTATGTAGAATTACATGGAATAGAATCTTAAATCTAAGTAACCTTGGTTTTAATGAAAATACAGAAGACACAAGACAGTTTAAAAACCTCTATAGTTGGATAAAATAAGACTGTTCACAAAAATATATTAATTTAAGCATGCAGGATCAAACTTGAATTCACCAGAAATCCATGAGCTCAAAAATATAGAATTTTTTTAAAAGGAGTTCTAAAATAATAACACGGCCATAATTATTCTAATAAAGGAGCATTAGAACATCTTCATCAGATCAGAGTGCACTTTGGGTCATATTAATATCAGTCCAGACATTTAAAGAATGTGAGAGTCCTGAAATCCTCAGGGAAAGATTCTCAAGGAAAAGAAGACTTGTATATACGAGATCATTCCATTTTTCCTCCTTGTGGTGTAGCATTTAGGGAGGAACTTGTTACGAAAGCAGGTTGAGTGCAAGAGCAGATAAGATAKCCAGTAGCTTGAATTTAAAAGTGACACCTCTTTTTTCCTTTGGTCTCAAACCAGTTTTGGATAACCACCTCTTTAGCTTACATTTCAGATGTAAGCCTTAGAGAGCTAGAGATCTGGTGGAAGGCTAACAAGTGAGGGAAGCTACTGTTTTGAACTTGAGAGGCAAAACCCCATGCTAGGGCATTTTAACCATTTTTTTATTTTGTAAAATCAGTCTCTTAAGCTGTGGTGCTATAATTTATGTTTCCTTTGGAGACCATTTTTCAATCCCCCGGTCTGTAATGAGGCCAGGTTTGGATGCAGGAAATTAACAGACATCTCTTTTCCCAACTGTGATTAGGTCATTTCCCAGACCTGGCAGCAGAAGAAAATGAGGCTCTTTTTTGACTGACTGTGGGTCAAACTTCTCCCAATTTTTCAGTATTCGGGCTAGCGGTGAACGTAGCATAACTGTTGAGAAGGAAGCTCCCATCTGAATCCATTATGTTTGGGACATCTTCCTAGATGAGCTTCTGAAGGCCAGCAAAATCCCTGTCTCTCACCACCTGGTTCTGCCAGATTTATTGCTGCCTCACTGGCAAGAATAGACCTTCTTTGCTGCATGACAAAGACCCTGGAGGATTCAGACTTAGAGGCAGATGACTGATCTCTTCCTACCTAGAAACTATAAATTACCAAATGTGATACCCACAGGGGGTAAAACAAAACAAAAGATGGGAATATTCCTCTTCTTCATGCCCTAAAGGAATCTCTGGAGGATCAGGAGGACATCTAGTGGTTGCTCAACGTCCTGTTTCCTCCCTTTTTGCAACCAAAGAAACTCAGAGAGCCCAGAAACAACACTGGGGAGAATGCCTATAGACTTGTAAGGGCTTGATGTGTGAATAAAGGGCGCCTAGGCATTTCCTAATGAACCATTCCATGTAAAATGTCCCTGGAGTCTGATCAGGGAGGGGAGGGGAGCGTTTGGGAGKAGTGAGCATGGGAGAGCGCAGTTCAGCTCATACAGAGGTACATGTCATGGGAGCATTCGTGGAGCACCATTTCATAGGCCAGTCGATGTAAGATACCCAGCTGCAGCTGTTGTGAGAGGAGCTTGGGGGAGAAACCTTTGGGATTCACTGGGGAGTTGTCACAGCCAGAATCTCACAGTGTTTCTACCCTTTGTTGGTCTCTGTGCGTCCCTCAAGGCAAACTAGGTTTGAGGATTCTGTCTTCTGATGCCAGACACGCTCAGAGGCTGATTAGGACAATGACAAATGGCTTTGGCAAAGCCCAACATACCTGACAAGAGGACAGGAGCCGCTGAGCCCATGAATCCTCTCCCCAGAGCCTTGTAGAACGGCAGCTTGCAATAACTGTGTTTAACTGGCAAACAGGTGCCCATTATTGTCCTATAGAAAGAGAAAAAAAAAAAGAAGGCATATTTCAGAGAGGTGTGGGGTGTGGAGGAGTTTATCTCAGTGACAATTCTGGCTGAGCCTCCAGCCAGAATTAATATCTGTCTTGAAAACTGGGTCCTTGTCCCCCTGAATCTAAGATTAAGCACCCAAGATGTGCCAAGGCAAGAGCATAGAGTAAATTTTATTTGAGAGAGAGAGAGAGAGAGCTCCAGAAAGGAGGGGGCCCAGAGCTGGTGCCCTTGGGAATGGGGGTGTCTTGCCCCTTTATAAGATTTTAGGTTTCCTTTCTTCTCAAGCCTACATGCCCAAAGCGCCATCCAGGGGGTGATTACTTATGTTGGAAAATGCCATCCTTCCCCTTCCCCAGAGGAGTTAGCAACAACTTATTTCCTTTTCTTTGATAATCGGCTGTCTGTCTTTTGCCCTTGTCCCAGGTGGTTGGCAGGCTGGCTAGATGGGTTGAGGAGGTAGTGTCTGGAGCAGTGCCCGGTACATATAATGAACTATAACTATATATTTCTGTTGTCGGACAGCATATAAACACCTTATTTTTGTATACTGGAACATTTGTGTCTGAAAGTTTCCACTCGTTTAGCCTATTTTAACCCTGTATGTGGAATACTATTTTACTCATGATAGAAAAAGTGTACACATCGGTTTCACTTGTGTTTTCTTTGGACCAAACTACAAATGCATTCTGCATAACACCTGCCCCCTTATGTTACAAAGCTAAGACTTCAACCTTGGGAAAACAAACAAACAATTATTTGACATAAATTGTAGTAAACAGATATGCTTCTTCYTCAAGGTCATTAGCTTTACCACTATGGGAGTGGGAGGGACTTCCACTATCACCAAAATCTGTTCTGGATACCACTGCTGCTTAACAAACTGCCTAAAAATTAGGAGTGAAAAATATTGATTGAATTACGGTTACGGGTTTTGTTGGGTCAGAAATTAGGACAGAGTACCCAAGGGGTGGCTTGCTTCTGCTTCATGTTTTCTGGTATCTTATCTAGGAACACTCAAAGACATKRGTGGGACTTGATGGCTGGGGAATGGAATCATTGGAAGTCCCCTTCACCTGTCTGGCACCTGGGCTGAGATGTCTTGCACACCTGAAGGTAAATGAGTCTCCATCTACCCTGGCTTAAGGTGTGCGAGTGTATACAGTGAGCAGTAGAGAGGGCGCACAGTGGTTCAGGCCTTGGAGAGGATGTCTGCTGGGCTCTGGCCCTTGCCTTGAGGCCTCTTAAAAAATGAAACAAAACAAACAAACAAACAATGATAACAACAACAACAACACACACACACACACACACAAACCTGCCTTTTAAAAAATATCTTTGAATGATCAATTTTATTATACAATTTGTGAAAAAAAGAAATTCAGACTAAATTTCTCCCAAAGCATAGGAGAAAAGACAAAGAGCAGGGCAGGGGGAAGTGTCCCAGGGAGAAGTCTCTATGATGAGTTCCTCAGGCAAAATTCTCTATGATGTGTCTTTGCAGGTGGGGGCAGAGGAGACTCCTGGTGGATGCAGATGCGCTCCTGCCTGGATCTGCGTGGAGAAGCCAGAGCCCCTCAGCACAGCTCCCACCCACACTGTGATGTCAGCATCCCCAGGGCTGAGGGTCTCCTGGCTGGCTGTCAGTTCTGTCTGGCTGGCTGGGCATTTCCACTGGAGCCACTCTGTTTCTGGACAGGGGCCCTCGGAAGCAGGGTATGCAGCATAGCTGCCGGAGGCATTTGGCGATCCTCCTCCTCACCCTCTTCCAACCCCGGCTGCTGTCTGGGGGTTGCCCTGTGGAGGTCCCTTGGGGGATGAGTGGCTGGGCACAGGGTGAGGCTGGGAGGCTAGACTGGGGAGGAATGTCCTCATGGAGGAAGAGGGGAGGGATGGCAGGCACGTTGGCACTTCCTTCAGGCTGCTGTTGCTCATGAGGCAGGGGAAGGGCAGGCTAACTAGAGCACTTCCTGGGGCAGAACCTGGGAGGATCTGCAGGGCCCAGGCCATGCTTGGGCTTCACCTGGAGTGCACAGGCCTCCCGCTGGGTTCTCTGGTGCTTGAGTATTCAGTCTGTGGCCATCTCCTCATCAAATTTGCGACTGGTCACGGACAGCCAGTTATGATAGGGGTGTTAACCCATGGCTCTCAGGATGTTCATAATGGCTGGATCTGGGAGTTTGGGGAGTGCCTCAGGAAGAGGACTGGGTGAAGCTTGCTCACCCTGGCTTAGCCATGGGTGCCCCATTACCTGGTCTATGGTGGGCCTCTGCGTAGGGTCCTCCATGAGTATCTCACGAATGAAGCTCTGGGCTCCCTCGGAGACAGGGGAATGTGGAATGTTCCCTGCTTGATCAGCTTCTTCAGCTGCCTATTGCTKCTTGCTGCAAATGGCCATCTCCYTGTGAGCATAGCATAGAGGACCACACCCAGGCTCCAGACATCTGCCAGGGACCCCACATATTCCTGCCCACAGACGATTTCAGGGGCAACATAGAGGAGAATGGCAAAGAACTTCTTCAGCTTCTTCCCAGCTGTGAATCTGGTGCTCAGGCCAAAGTCGATGAGCTTCACGTTGCCACTGGCGTCCACCACCACGTTCTCAGAGGCTTCAGGTCCAGGTGCAAGATGCCTTCTGGCACCATCTGCCTGAACAGTCTGCGGGCCTCCTCCTCCTGCRTGCCGTCAGTTTCTGGGCCGAGGTCTCATAGTTGTTACCCTCCTGTATGCTCCATGATACAGTAGATATACTTATTGGTCTCAATGATGGGAAAGAGCTGGATCACATTTGGGTGGTCCAAGTCTGCCATCATTTCTGGTTCAGAGAGGAACAGGGAGCTCGAGCTACTTTTGCCAAGACCTTTACCACAACCTCTGTCCTGGTGAGCAGAAGGAGGGCAAGTTTCACTTGAGTAAAGCCCCCTGCCCTAATGTCTTACAGGACTATATAATATCTGTGAAGACCGACTCACAGCAGGAGCTCTGCCCCTGCAACACTATGCTACTCTCACTACTCTGATTGCTCATCCTGAACCGGAACAAGGATGCTAGCTTAAAAAAATAATAATAAAAACAAAAAACAAAAGCAAAAAAAATAAAAGGGAAAAAAACAAGTAAAAAATCCCAGTATCCAAAGACCACAACCACCAGCCACCAACCACCAACCATCACCAAAGGTACTATCTGGGAATCTAACAGATCACCACTAAAAGCTTCCTGTACTTACAGAAAAAAAACCCAGCTGTAGCTACTCTGGTATGTACCTGCAGTTTGAAATTCCCTCGAAATGTCTCCTTGTGAGGTCAGAACCAGAAATAACCCAGGCACACTTGGGCCTAACCTCAGTGGTCATCACATTTGGGTCTGCAGGACCTTTCCCACTTTCGTAATGGGAATAAGAAAGGACTCTGGAAGGTTTTTTGCTTCAGTGGGTTATGGGGGCCCATGTTTACTTGTTTAGAAATTAAAATTTGTAGGATACTCAGTGGTCTTCGTTTTGAATCTGAAAATCTGTAATATCTTTGTAGCTTTGAAAGACCTCATCATAACTACGCTCAAAGTTTCTGCTTCATTGCTGCCCTGAACCATGTAGCTTTCCGCCACAGGGCCCTTTCCCCATGAGGGATTACCTGCCCTCTGGCAGAGCCATGGAGTCAGCCATCTAAGAACTGAGTCTTCTGTAACTGTTAGCCCCAGAGAATCTTTTCCTCCAAGTTGTTCTTGTTGGGTGTTTTGGTCACAGAGACAAAAAAAAAAAAAATGAAAATAAAAAAATAAAACACAGCCATACATCATTGTACCCATGTTGAAAAAGGTGTGTGTGTGTGTGTGTGTGTGTGTGTGTGTGTGTGTGAGTGAGTGAAGCGCTGGGAACTGAACCAGGTCCTTGCATGTGCTGGAAAAGCTCTCTTAAGTTGCACATCCCGTCCCTGGGGCTGAGGTTTCCTGGACTAAGCAGCCCTCAATACTGTTACATTGAGGCTGAACTGTCAACAGGAATTTTGGAGTGAAACACACCTTCAAACCACAGCTCGCAATAAACAAGAGCCCAAGGAGATTGTCCCCACTAGATGTGCCCTGTGTGAGGGGAGTCCCTCAGGTTACACTGAAGGACATTAGATAGGAACTCAGATCGTGGTGAAGACAAAGTTCTCTGATAAAGCAAATTCATGACAATCATAAAATCTAAGGCTAATTTTGTTTTCTATATGATGTAAGAATAATATATCAAAACACCCCAATTTTATCCTATTGTATTGAATAAATACCATACATAACACTGTAACATCAGTAACAGAGGGGCCGGGGTTGGAGAAATACTGTAGCCGCATCTGTACAGTAGTGATGTCATGTTGCTGTGGGTTCACACCAGAGCAGCATCTTTTCCATGTGCAGTGGAATCCCCATGGGAACCACAAAGAATTGCTTGTAGAGCATACCCAAAATGGGAGGTAAAGGAACTAAAATGTTTCACTGCAATCATCAACTAAATAGGAGGGAAGATAAATAATGAAGCGAGTCACATTGAATCAAAGCTGGTGCTGCTCTCCTCGAAAGGCATGCTGAACCAAGGGCCCCACCCTGATCTCCTTAGAACTGAAGCCACACCAAACCAAGTGTTCTGCCCTGATCTCATGGGGACACAAGCCTCACTGAACCAAGGGACCAGCGTGGATCTCCAGAGACAGAAACTCCTCCAGAGAGAAGGGCACTCAGAGCTGGTGCCCTTGGGAATGGGGGTGTCTTGCCCCTTTATAGATTTTAGGTTTCCTTTCTTCTCAAGCCTACATGCCCAAAAGGCAGGAAAAGAGCCATTCAGGGGTGATTGCTGGTGCAATCCTTCCCCTCTTTTGGAGGCGTTAGCAACGTAGTGATGGGGAAGTGCTATCTGCTCATTTCCTTTTCCTTGATAATCAACTATCAGTCTTTTGCCCCTGCCTGAGGTGGATGGCAGGCTGGCTGGCTGGGAGGATGTAAAGTGTCTAGAGCAGTGCCTGATACATATAATAAATTGTAACTGGATATTTCTGTTGTTTGACAGCATAAAAATACCTTATCACACACTGAAACATTTATGTCTAAATAGTTGTGCTTATTTCATCTACTTTAATCCTGTCTGTGGAATACTGTTTTACTCTTAATAGAAAAACAAATATTACACATTGTCTCACTTGTGTTTGGTCTGTGCAGAGAACYAAACAGCAAATGCATTCTGCATAAAACCTTCCCCCTTATGTTACAAAGCTAAGCCTTAAACCTTGGGGAAAAAAACCAATTACTTAGCATAATTGTTTTTTTTTCTCTCAAGGACATTAGCTTTTCCACTATGGGAGTGGGAGGGTTTTCCACTACCATCAAAATCTGTTTTGAGTACTATTGCTAAATAACAAACTGCCTCAAAACTTAGTAGTGAAAAATGTCAATTGAGTTATGGGTTCTGTTGGGTCAGAAATTAGGGCAGAGCATGGGAGGGCAGTGRTACAGGTACACCTCTGCTTCATATTCTCTGGATCTCATGTAGGAAGACTCAAAAATGTGAGAGGGACTTGACATCTTGGAACTAGAGTCATTGGGAGTCTCATTCACCTGTCTGGCATAGGGATGAGATGACTTACACACTGAGCTCAGCAGGACTGTCAATCAGACTGCACGTATGAGTCCTGTCCATGCAGCTGTGCTCCCCACAAACGTGGTTCAGCCTCAGGATAGCTGAGCATATAACTTGATAGCAGAGGCCTCATTGCCTGATAGTCATAACAGCCCTGGTGGCCACCTATTACCACCTCCAACCTATTTCATTGTTGGAGTACATGACAGTCTATCCAGGTTTCCAGGCAGGAGACATAAACCTCACACCTTGATGGGAATCATGTAAAAGAGTTTTACAGTCATGTTTAAAACCCCTCACCCCTACGTGTTACAAACTGAAGTGTAGACTCTATGGAAGGCAGTCTTCATTTATTTCATCATCCTTTGAGCCTCATTTTCATTAATGTATGTCATTCACTTTTTGTGAGAAATCAGATCTCCAGCCTCCCCATCATGCCCAGAATATGCTGGCAACACGGTGGCAAGAAAACTCTACCTCCTTCCCTGAATTGAGTGTTTCTCATGGATTAAGCCAATTTTGAGAGAGGACCCATTGGTGCTGGCTGGACCAGTGGCAGGGAAACTGCCTAAYGTTCTGAATGTTAACAGAAACCATGCTCTCTTCAGGCCAAAGCAGTTGGGCACAGAATAACAGGTCACAACTGGGCAAGCATGCTGAGAGGAGTGACCCACACCCAACCTCCACCTCCCCCACAGCACTCCTTCCCCTTAGGATCTCGTCCACTGGCCTCATGCTTTTCCCAGAGTGCAACAGTTTTCTGGAAAGACCCAGAGTCAGGGTTTCCTGTGGATTCAGATTGTTTGAGACATGTTGTTTGAGGCTAAAGGACTCCTGTGAGAGACTCTTCCTTAGCCTCATCAGGGGGTTTTTAGAAAATAAGGTGGGTGGATACCAGGACCGTGGGTCACGGTACAGAGATCTTGGGACTTAAAACCCACTGGCATCAGGAGGTGAGTAGGAAGTAATGTGCAATGGATTCTGATGACACCCTGCCCCCTCTCCAGCAGGACATCAAATAACTCAGAGTGACCCAGGGGCACCAGAGGTGTGTCCTGGTTCAGCTGGTGTAGACTCCTGGGACTGAGTGTCAGAGGTGGCACCTCCTGCCCATCCTATTAGAAACTGAGGTGCCTGAGTGTCCTGTAGGCTATCAGCTGTGGCCAGTAGCCCTGTGCTCACCTGGATTCACAACACCTTGTCCAATGGCCCCAAATGTCTTACCATATAAAAAGAAAAGGATGAAACAACCATCTCCCCTTCCATAGCATCACCCAGCAGCGGCTGGCAGATGAGTCGTAGCCTTCTTTTGTGTGCATTGCTTTGGATAAAGCAGGGCCTTTAGCTAATCTTTGTCATAATACTCTGCCTTTATTGAGCCCTTATTACATTTTAGACATTAGAAACAATGTACATTCGCTTTTTTCATCAATGTAACAATCCTGAACTTAAGTATCAACTATCCCAAACATCATTAATGCTAAATATTTATTAGGTTTTCATGGTGACAGATAAGTTTAGAAAACACGGATAGTCTAAACAGTGATGCAAATGGTAATTCTCCAAGACAAGGAGTCTATGTAGAAGAATTTTCCAACTTACTTAGTCATATAGTATCTTGGAGTAACTGGTATTTTAAGGAACGAAAATTAAAGCTTAAGGAGATGATGTTTAAGTGAGTCAACAGAAAATGTGGTGTCCCATAAGGAGTGGTCTAAGAAGCGTTTGGAAATAGGTCAAGTTTAAGCCATCATGAGGGGACTCACAGCACTGTCCTTGAAAATGGATGCTCATGATATACAGGGATGGCCAGTGATTCCTGAAGGTAGCTCTGGTTTATTCTTAGAAGAGAGGTATCTTCTTTCAAACTCTGCAAAGAAGACTGCTATGATATCAGGAACACAGAGCTCCATCTGCATCACATTCCCAGTCACATGTGCAAGATAGAAAGATGCTGAACCACTGAGGTGTCCCCAGGTTGCCCCTCTGCTGTTTCCATCTTCTCCAAGAATGTGGAAGGCTCTTTCCTGCCTGTAGCACGACATGGAGCCCAGGACCAAAGCCACTATACTGACACCCCAGGACCCGTACAAGCTGCAATCTAACCCTTGTTCTGTTTGTTTTTCTAAATTTGCATCCTAAACACACCCTGCTTGGCTTTTCTTCTTCTGATATCATCAAAATATTTCAGTCCATTTTTGCAGCATTTAGACATCTTTTATGCAACTTTATGTGCATTCCACCTAATGCCTTTGGACAACTTCCATTTGTGAT